GGCTGCGGTGGCTGGGAGCGGCCACTGCACTCCAGTCTGGGCGACAGAGTGAGATTCTAATTCCAAAAAAAAAAAAAACCTCCTATTGTGATAGGTTGAAATTGTGGCCAATTTCAACTATCACCATGGTGTCAGTTGGCTAGCAGACATCTGAAGATGCAGCAGTTCACTAGCTCCAGCACCTGACGAGCTGTACCATGGGGAAAATTTCCCCCCCCCCCAAGTAAAGCAAAATCTTTTAAAACCTTATTCAAAGAGTGGTATGGGGGTTGGGGTTCCCAATCCCACTGGTCAAAGCATACAAAATTTCAGTTACGTAGGAGGAATAAGTTCAATAAGCTCAAGAGATCTGTTGTATAGCATAGAGACTATAGTTAATAACAATATATTCTTGAAAATCACTAAGAGTAGATTTTGTTTTCTCAACTCAAAACATGGTAAGTATGTGAGGTAATGCATGTTAATTAACTTGATCCAGCCATTCCACAATGTACACACATAGTTCAACGATCATATACATGATAAATATATACAATTTTTGTTCATTTAAAAATAAATCAGTTTGTCCAAAAGAGTGGTATTCAGGCCAGTGGCATCATCATTACCTTGGGGCTGATTAGAAATGCAAAGTCTCAAGCCCTACCCAGCTCTGCTCAGTCAGAGTCTACATTTTAGCAGGATCCCTGTACATATTAAAGTTTGAGAGGGTCTATTTTAAATCATGGTGCTAGTTCTGTCCTCTGTGATGGCTGCTGACCAGTAGTCTAATGAGATCACATATATGGTTTGCAAGCCCTATTCTCAAATAACTGACTGAAATGAGTTCGTGCTTATATCCTTAAGCCCCAGCCCCTGTCACCCTTCCATCGTCCCACTCAGCAAACTGCAGTTCAAGTTCAGTCCACCTCTGCTAACATACCTGGGCTGCTAAAGAAAAATCACAGATTGTGCCTCTACAAATGTATGGTCTCTGTTCTCACTGTACCCTGCCCTGGAATCCCCTAGTGTCCCCTGCTCCATTCCATTTGCACTCATCTTTTGATGCAGAAGCCAGTTCCCAGAACAGTGTCTACGGACAGTAGAGATGCAGTAACTGGATGAAGTCTACACTCAGCATGGCTGTCAGCAGTTCTCCTGCAGCCCCTCTTGACTGCGGTGGCTTCTGGTCTATTCTTACTGTCTTAGAGAGTCCCCAGATCTCTGGTCCATTCAGAGTTTGTATTTTATTTTTAATATTTGCCCCCATTATTGCTGTTTATTTAGTGTGATGCATGTGCTCAGTTCATCCTCTTGAAATCATTACCTTTCCTTCTTCCTGGATAACTATTTCAGACTTGCCCATTCTCCTCAAATCCATACCCCACCATCTTGTCTGTCACCCTCAGAAAGAAAATTCAAGGTCAGCATTCAAGAAACCTCCCACCTCCCTGCTGCCTGATACTAAACATCCCTGTATCTGCTTTCCTCTTGCTGCGGAAGAGGAACAGCCCTTGGCCCAGCCTACCCAGCCACTCCTGTTCTCCCAAGTCGTCACTGAACATTTGGTTTGCCTCAGCAATGGCCCTGTTAGCCACTCTCCCTGTGGCTCCTGTCCACCACACTCTCCTGGTTTTGTTTTGTTTTTTTTCCTGCCTCTGGCTACTTCACAGTCCTGTTTCTGGGTTTTCCTTCTCTGCCATCCTTAAAAGGCCCTGTCTTGGCCCCTAGTCCCTTCTCCCTCAGCTCAC